CGATCAATGACTCTCTCATCATTGATGTTTCTATCTCTCTCTCTCCCTCTCCTTTCCTCTCTCTGAAATCAATAAAGATATATTAAAAAAAAAAAAATCCACTATCTGTGGGGAAAGGCCTAGAGTTTCCAATAATTCCTCTCATGTGCACACCTGGATGTATTATAAATGGATGTGGAATAGCTCTTCCNTTTCCAATAATTCCTCTCATGTGCACACCTGGATGTATTATAAATGGATGTGGAACAGCTCTTCCATTTTATTTTATTTTATTTTAAAAATATATCTTTATTGATTTCAGAGAGAGGAAAGGAGAGGGAGTGAGAGAGAGATAGAAACATCAATGATGAGAGAGTCACTGATCAAGCCCGCCACCCGGGCATGTGCCCTGACCGGGAATCGAACCCTGATCGCCTGGATCCCAGGTCGACGCTGAGCCACGCCCGGCCGGGCAGCTCTTCCATTTTAAATTTGGCTGTTGGTAATGTTCTGGTAAGTGTAGCTACCACAGACCAAAAAACTGCGAGATACCAGAGGTCTGGGGAAAGATAAAAAGGTTAAATAATAAACAATCTTTGCTAGAATGGCCACCCATGAATAAAGCCTGTGGCTTCCAAGCGGCATGCATGGAAAATGATCTAGGGTGTTGGAAGTATACTACCTCTTTTGTTTAATTAAAGTAACCTGTATTGGCTCTGGCCGATTTGGCTCAGTGATTAGAGTTGGCCTGCACACCAAAAGGTCGTGGGTTCGATTCCCGGTCAAGGGCACATACCTAGGTTACAGGTTCATTCCCTGGCCTCGCTTGGGGTGAGTGCAGAAGGCAACCAAATCGATGTGTCTCTCTCTCTCCTCCTCTATCTAAGCATGTCCTCAGATGAGGATTAAAAAAATAAATAAAACCACCTGTATTAATTAGTTGAAAATTGATTAACTTCAATATTATAGTGTTCTTTATAAATTTACAACTGTTTTAGTCCTGCATACTAAAAAGAGGGAAAAGATGTAAGAGGACAGAGACTGATTTTTCACTTTGTATTCCTTAGGAAACTTTTATTAAGCAGGTGAACTGGTTGTAGGACATTTCGGGTACAAATATTGGGAAAAATAATCTCTTTTAATATCCCAACCAAAATATAGATAGTAGCAATGCTCATAATTAACCAAACGTGCAGAATTCTGAAAAGTAAAAAAAAAAAAAGTCTGCCCTGGCCAGTATGGCTCAGTTGGTTGGAGCATCTTCCCCGTATACCAAAAGGTGTCAGGTTCAATTCCTGGTAAGGGCACATATCCAGGTTGTGGGTTTGATTTCCAGTCAGGGCATGCTTGGGAGGCAACTGATCGATGTTTCTCACATGGATGTTTCCCTCCCTCCCTCCCTCACCCCGCTTTCTCTCTCAAATCATTAAAAACATATCCTTGGGTGAGGATTAAAAAAAAAGTCTATCTCTGACTACAATTAGAACTCTTCTAACAGGACCATTAAGTAAGATGTAATGCTGCCCTGGTCAGTGTGGCTCAGTGGTTAGGGAATTGGCCATGCACCAAAGGGTTGCGGGTTCCATTCCCAATAAAGGACACATATCTGGGCTGCAGGTTTCATCCCTGGCCCCAGTCGGGGCGCTACGGGGGGCAACCAATAGATGTGTCTCTCTCACATCAATGTCTTGTCTGTCTTCTCTCTCTCTCCCTTTCTCCCTTTAACTCTCTAAAAAAACAAAAAAAATCAATGGAAAAAACATATCCTCAGGTGAGGATTAACAACAGCAAAAAGATGTGATGCTAAGTAAAACAAGCCAGTCACAAAGGACATATACTGTGTGGCTTCACTTACATGAGGTTCCTAGAGCAGTAAAATTCATAGAGAGAGAAAGTAGAATGGTGGGTGCCAGGGGCTAGGGGAGGGGGAATGGGGAGTTGTTTTTTAATGGATATGGAGTTTCAGTTTGGGAAGATGAGAAAGTTCTGGAGATGGTGTCGTGATGGTTGTATAAAAATGTGAATATGCTTAATGCAACTGTATACTTAATGGTTAAATTATAAATTTTTATGTTTTGTATATTTTTACTACAATAAAAAAAGAAAAGGCATGGCGGTATACTTACACATTCAAATCATAATAATTCTTCAAACGAATTATTTCTTCAATATATCCAGTTGCTACATCTGGAAATCTTGCTTCCTGGAAAGGAATAAAAACATTTATATTTCATCCACTAGAATGGTTTCAAATTGCAATAAAAACCAGATGTCAAAAAGTATATAAATGACTACAAACTAGGAAAGGGCTATAAAGCAGGTTTGTGTCTGGCTTAAAACTCCATATGAGGTGCCCAAATTTATCTGTATACATAGAATGTGGAATGTAGAAAGGTCCCTAGAGATCATCTGGTCCTCTGCTCCCATTTGGTATGTCCTTCACTCTTTTAATAAATACTGAACATTTCTGCCCAGGCAAGGGAGTCCAAAAACAAATAAAGCACAATCTAGTGTTTACCCTCAAGAAGCATATGACCTAGTGGGCCAAATGAAAAAACCTGGGGGAAGAAGGGTTAAGTGAATGTTCACAGGTGAAGGGCAGCAGAGCCAGGACATAACGTTCTGCACTGCTTTTTCTTCTCAACAGAGGGAGAGAGAGAGAGAGAGAAACATCGATTTGTTTTTCCATTTATTTATGCATTCATTGGATGACCTGGATAGAGCCTGCAACTTGCTGTATCCGGATAACGCTCTAACCAACTGAGCTCCCTGGCCAGGGCTCTGCACTACTTTTTAGATCAGTGTTATCCAACAGAACTTTTACAACAATGGAGATGTACTACTCTGTGCTTTCCAATATGGCAGCTGTTCACCCCCATGTGGCTATTGAGCACTTAAAATGTGACTGATGCCACTGAAAACAAAACTTTGGACAGTGCAGCTCTAGGTAATTTGGTAAACATGCTTTAAGGGTTTGACTTCGTAGTTAACTCAATGCCTTTTTAAAAACTGAGGGATTGCTATTATGACAGCACTAAGTTATCCATAACCTACACCTAGAATCCCAAAGGACTTGCTGGGGGGTTAAAAATAGATTAAGAAATTCTGATTTAATTTTCATGTTTTCAGTGTTTCTCTTTTCTTCTATAAATGTAGCTATATATCCCTTAGGAAAGTTACGTCCACACACACAATGTTTTTGCAATAAAAGAAAACTCAGTATATTTAGTGTCAATAATTATTTACTTAATAAAATCAAACTTACTGTTTCTTTCACTAATAGTGCAATGACTTCTTGGTCTACTTCAGTAGCTTCTTGCCCCCAAAGGTTTTCCAAATTGGGCTCCTGGGATCCCTGTAGTGGAAAGGCTGGGCCTGGCTCTTCATCGTCTATTGCTAATTGCTGGTCTTCAAGTTCTCCTAGAGGATGGGCAGGCTGAGGAGAAGAGGGGCCCGGAATCCCATCCTGCTGGGGTTCTGGTCTTGGAAAAGCCGGCCTTGGAAAAGCCAGCCTTAGGGGCTCATGCTGATAAAACAATGGACCCAGTTCTGCTTCAGGCTGCCGCTCCTGAGGAACAACCTGGTTTGTTATTTCACGGGGCTGCTGGTTTAGGGACTGGAAGTAAGGATGGTTTTCTAACCAGCAGTCTTCTTCGATGGTCTGATCTTCTAGGATACCAGTCGATTCTCCGAGGTTTGATAAAAGGTCTGTCTCTGAGTCTTCAGAAGACTGGTTCTGAATGTCCAAAGGATCGCTATCTGGAATAAGAAGGCCACTTTTTCTCCAGATAAAGATTTTTGGCCCTGATCCAGGGTTGACAATATCATTTGCTGCTTGGTTATGACTTGGTCCAGGCTTGGGTTCTCTTTCTGTCTGGCCACTTGGCTTAATGAATTCAGAAACTCCAGGAGGCCCAAGATCCAGAAATTCACCGTAGTCATCCTCAGAATCATCCTGTGCCCCAGAATCAAACAATGAGCTGTTACACACTGCAAAATAGTTGTTCTTATTTGATTCAAAAGCTGCTCTAGACTTTTTAGGCCTTTCTTCTCCCCAACTTTTGAGATCTTGCCACTGGGCAGCTGGTTTGATGAGATTGGGTCGTGATGTCTGAGGTTTACTTGTCTAAGAAAAAATGAAATTTTAATAATAATTCAATTTCTTTCCTATGTCTATGGCCTCCTTATGTATTAATATGCAGCTTCTGAGATAGGGCAGGAAAGAAACAAAAACACTCTCGTCCACAAAACCTATTCTTCACACTTATGGTAACGCTGAAATCTGATCATACTACACTCACTATAAGAATTAAAATAGCCATTCATATACCGAAGTCTGAATTATTGTTTCAATTATAATTTTACCTGAGACCACTAAATCAAAAACAACTGCACAGGAAATAATGAAAAAATGAAAACACAGTGAAAAAATGAGGAATGTTGCCCTAGCCAGTTTGGCTCAGTGGTTAGAGCGTTGGCCTTTGGACTGAAGGGTCCCAGGTTTGATTCTGGCCAAGAGTATGTACCTCAGTTGCAGGCTCAATCCCCAGCCCCAGTGGGGACACATGTGGGAGGCAACCAATCAATGTGGCTCTTTCACATTGATGTTCCTCTTTCTCTCTCTCTCTCCTCTCCCTTCCACTCTCTCTGTAAAACAACTGAAAAAGTATCCTCCAATGAGGATAAAAAAAAAAGAGAGAAATGTTGAACATATAAAAAAATGTAACTCTCATTAGTAATCAGCAAAACGCAAACTAAAACAAGATCTTTTTCTCCCCACAAGACTAGAAAAATTTAGTTAGATAATATCAAGTACTGGTAAGGATGTGGGAAAACTGCCAGTGAAATTAAAAGAGCAGCCGGCCGGGCATGGCTCAGCAGTTGAGCATCGACCTAGGATCCAGGCGATTGGGGTTCAATTCCTGGTCAGGGCACATGCCCGGGTTGCAGGCTCAATCCCCAGTCGGGGGTGTGCAGGAGACGGCCGATCAATGACTCTCTCATCATTGGTGTTTCTCTCCCTCTTTCCCTCCCTCTCCTTTCCTCTCTCTGAAATCAATAAAGATATATTTAATTTAAAAAAAATTTTTTTAATTAAAAAAAATAATAAAAAAAAAATTAGAAGAGCAATTTGGCATTATTTATTAAAATAAAAAATGGAGCCCTGGGTGATGTGGCTCAATTGGTTGAGTGTCGCCTGTGCACCAAAGGGTCACCGGGTCAATTCCCAGTCAGGGTACATGCCCTAGTTGTGGGTTCAATTCCCAGTCAAGATGCATGCAAGAGGCAACCAATCAACATTTCTCTCTCTCTCTCTTCCTTCCTCTCTCTTAAAAAAAAAAAAAAAATCAATAAAATAAAAAATATATATCCTTATGCTCTATCATCATCACTTTTTTCCTAGCTTTGCCCCCTTAAGTGTCTAAAGGGGGCATATACAAGGATATTCAGTGCCACAATGTTTGCAATATAAAAAGAAAAGAATTAGACATTCTAAAGTTTGTCCCTAAGAGAACAGATCGCTGCAGGAGGCAGGATGGAGAGAACTTTGAATTGGACTGCTCTGAACTAGCCATCTATGCCAGGAGGTAAGAAGTAAAGGCTAGCCCTAGCCTGTCTGGCTCAGTGATTAGAATGCCAGCCGGTGGATGAAGGGTCCTGGGTTCAATTCTGGCCAAGGGCACATACCTAGGTTGTAGGCTCGATCCCCAGCACCGGGCTGGGGCATGTGTGGGAGGTAACCAATCAATGTCTCCCCCCGCCCCCCACTCTTTCTGAAAAGCAATGGAAAAAATATCCTCGTGTGAGGATTAAATAAAGAAAGAAAGAAGTAAAAGCTAAACAAATATAAGCACATGTATGTAAACACCCTCCCCCACACGTTCTCTGTCATAAGGAGAATTACTGCTAGCCTGAGCCCTTTCCCAATATAACTGCCTATAAAAAACTGGCCCAAGAAAACTAAAATTGCATTCAAAGTTGAGTAATAATAACCAACAACTAACCCAGAAACTATATAAAGATGCCTATTAAAAAAAGAATAGTAGATGTGTGACATGTACTAGAAAATCAGCATTGCACAGATGAAATAATGACAAAATATAAAAACAAGGACACAAAGAAGTAATGAAATAATTACCTCTTTAATATAAATGTTTTAAGTTACGGTTTTGTAGAAATAAGGTAACCATCAAAAGTCAGGAGAGGAAGCAGAGAAGCTGGGGGTCAAATGATACACTTAAAGCTGATAAATCAAATTATATACATAAGGACAACATTTGAAAGTATAAAAATAACTACTTGAAAAACGAAAATTAATAAAACTATGGATAAAAACCTTTCAAATTAACCAAGAACACATGCTTTCAGTATAAATAAAAAGATAACCTCAAAGATTCAAGGGATATAGTGAAAATTTCCTCTTAAAAGCAATAAAAACACAAAGCATATTAAATGCTACAAGGAAACTAAAAACAAACTATAATAGCCACATTAATAAATACAAGATCAATTCACCTTATTTAATTGAAAAGTATCTCTAAATAGAACCTCTAAGCAAAACCCAACTATATAATCAAGAGTTACTGGAACACATTGATTCAGAAAGCACATAGGAAAAAGCACAACAGTGGACTTCCAATTCCAATAAATGGAATGCTAGATCATTCAGATAAACCCTGCAATAGAGTAAAAGCAGAAAAACTGGTCAAAATATCAAAGCAAAACCAAAATCAAAACATCTACTTGACGGCCTCAGATCCAGGGGAACAGAAACCAGAAGGAAGAAATACAGCAAAATAAGCCCCACATAGGGGTACTTTTTCCCTACAGATGCACCTGCCAATTCCAGATTTAGCTAAAGAATGAGGAGCTAAGGGTACAAAAATAGGAATTCAGAATTCACCATGGGTAAGGGTTCTGGTAAATTTTAAGCTCTAGTATAAGGCCCTGAAGGGCTACACTACTGAATAAGGGCAAACTGGAAACATGCTGGACCTCCCAGGAACTAAATCCTAGTCCTGGCTGGTGTGGCTCAGTGGTTAGAGCGCAGGGCTGAGCACTCCAGGGTTGCAGGTTCGATTTCTGTTCAAGGGCACATATCTAGGTTTCAGATTCCCTCCCTGACCTCGGATGGGGAGCGTGTGGGAGGTAACCAATCAATGTCTCTCTCTCACACTGATGTTTCTTTCTCTCTCTCTCTCCCTCTCCCTCCTTTCTACCCTCTCTCAATGGAAAAAATATCCTTAGGTGAGGATTAACAAAAAAGTAAAAATAAAATTAAATCCTAGTTTGCACAGTTTAGATTCCTGAATCTGAGATTGCTGGCCCCATAACCTTCTTTGAGAAGAAAGATAACATCATCTAGAACCTCAAATTTTTCATATACAATGATGACTATCATTCAATAAAAAATAACTAGGCATGTAAGAAGTTGATGCAACATTATAGAAAACCAAACCAAGAGAAGTAACAAACAACAAAAACACACCTACAGAGGTTGCAGATAGTAAAGTTATTAGACATGGATTCTAAAATAATATGCTTAGTATACTTAAGGAAATAAAATACGAGATTGAGAATTTCAGCAGAGAACTAGAAATTTAAGAAAAAAGAAAAAACGAAAGAAAAAGAGAAAGAAAGAGAGGGAAGGAGAGAAGGGAGGGAGGTCCCAGAATGAAAAAATATAAAAACTGAGATTAGGAATCAATGGATGGGTGTATAGCATTTTAAATAAACACAGCTGAAGAAAGAAATTAGTGAATTAGAAGACAGGTCAGAAAAAAATGGAATAAGGCACAGAGACATAAAATGATTGAAAATTAGGTAAGAGAATAGAAGACATAAAGAATATAGTGAAAAGGTTTTTACCAACTTTTTCTGCCATCTTGGAGCCTGTGGAGGCCTGCTGGGAAAAGGACTTTTGTAATGACAAATATATCTGGAAGACTGTGGTCCAACGCCATTTTTGCTGGCTATAAGTGGGGTCTCCGGAACCAGAGAGAGCACATGGCTCTTCTTAAAATTGAAGGTGTTTATGCTCAAGATGAAAATGAGTTCTATCTAGGCAAGATATGTTCTTATGTATACAAAGCAAAAACAACACAGTGACTCCTGGTCGGAAACCAAACAAAACCAGGTAACCTGGGAAAAGGTAACTCGTGCTCATGGAAACAGTGGATAGTTTGTGCTAAACTCCAAAGCAATCTTTCTGTTAAGGCTACTGGACACAGAATCCATGTAATGCTGTACCCAAGGATTTAAACTTATTGAAAAGTAAATAAATAAAATGGATATGTTCTCTTGTTAAAAAAAAGGTTTTATCAACTATATAACTGGAGTTCTAGAAGGAGAAAGATAAGCAATATTTGAAGACAAAATACAAATATTCAAGAAGGACAGTGACTTGATTTGTTTTAAAGATCTAAGCAGGATAAATTTTAAAACCCCAAACAACAGAAACCTAGGTATAGCATTGGAAGACTGCAGAAATCAAATACAAAAAAATTAATTCTTAAAAGTAGTAGTACATATTACCTTCAAAGGAAAAAAATAAATTTACAGACTTTTCAATGAAAAAATGGAAACCAGAAAACACTGGAATAGTCTCTGTACTTCCACACAAAATTTATACTCAGTGAAAATACTAGATTTACTGTAAAGAAAGTATTAAATAGTGTTCTTTAGGTAGAAGAAAAATAATCTCAGTTTTAAGGCCAGAAATGATGAAAGGAATAAAGAGCAGCAACAACAACAAAAAAATTTGGACAAGGCAAAGTGAATAATTGACTGTATAAACAAAAAACATATTGCAGTGTTTTAAAAAATGTATACAGAATTTAAACATATTTTAAAAAACAGTATTTAAATTGGGAGATAAATATATAGAATCTGACAGAATTCTATATTCACTAATAAAAACGTGAAACAAAGTAGATGGCTACTTCCTTGGCATAATTTTGAAAAATTTTATCTCAAGCAAAAAAGCCACCACCACACTTAGTGAAGAAACATTAAAGAATTCCCACTTATGTCAGTGGCTATTTTTCTTATTCCATTACTAATGTTACTTAAAATTTTTGAGGAGGTATCACTTAACATAATTACATAAGGAAGAAACTAGATGTATCATTATTGGCAGATAAAAAAATTGCCATCCATTAAGAAATTATGAAAGCCAACTGAAAAAATTACTATAGACAAAAATAAGGTGGCTGAGTATGAAATTAATATAAGAACCAACAGACTTAAATCAACAAAACTTGCTCTTAGAAAACATCAATATTATAATAATTGTGCTATAACAATAGGATTTGTTGTGAATCTATCTGAATTTAAAAAGCTGATCTTAAAATTTATATAAAAATACAAACAGAAAAATATCCAGGATTCTGAAAAATGTAGAGTAATAAGGGGAGATGAGCGTTACCTGAGATTAAGGTACACTATAAGGTTGTAGTAATTACAATAGTGTATACTAGGTACATGAAGAGTCAGATAAAGCAATAGTGCACAGAAGTCCAGAAACATGAAAACATGTGGCTTCTAAAAGTAAGGGGACATCAGGAAGGGTGGAAGGTGGCTGATCTCAGAAACACAGAACAAGTGCCAAGAGTGCCACATGTGTAGCACAAGCAGTGCTCTCGACTATCCTACACAAGGCCCCAGTAGCCACTACTGAGTGGCTGAAGAATCAGATCACGAACTTGAAATAATGCCTCATCCTGGTAAGTTTAAGAAAACTCACTTCTGTCAGGATGACATCATCATCCAGGTCCTCTTCGTCATGTTGCTGAGGAGCTGGGGTGACCATCATTGGAACTCCTTCCTCATCAGAGTCGTCAGATATGGTGATGGGTCCTTCTCTGAGATTGATCCAGTCTAAAAATAGGCAGAAAACACTGTTACCAGGAGGCGGGCACAATCATATTCAGTCCTTTAATTCAGTTTTGGCATGCAAAAGGTCGTGTCTAAAGCAAAGTTCATGGCTACTGGTATCTCCTCAAGTGACACATACCTAAGCATTAAGAGCCATGTTTCCATTCTGATCTTTACCAATAATACATTTTGGGAATCACTTGAGAAAATCTGACAATTACTATGCTCAAGATTATCAACTTTTTCTTATATTAGGCTGGAAAAATGTTGATGAAATATGTCAATTCCTTAAAAGTGAAATCATGGCCTTGAACTCATCCCATGTCTAATCCTTCCAGGGAATAAAACACTGTCATTCAAACTGACAGATCAGAAAAAAAATTTACTCAAAAATAGTAAAACTTTTGTTTAATATTAAAATGTGCTCACCTTAGACATAACCTTAAGTATTATTTATACAAACATATTTCAGTGTTTTAGCCAAACACTCATAGAGCATCTATGACAGTAAGCAATTTAACTCTTCTAGTTTCTTTTTAAATGTAACTAGAGCTAAACACTATCTAGATATAGTAATTCTGTTCAAGGTCTCTAACTCCTTTAATTTGTTTGAAAATAGATCATGTTGGATGTGAATTACTGAATAACACAAACTGATATTTTTTGTGTGTCTGGTTCCATGGGATGGTTAAAGCTAAAATGGGCAATGAAGAGAAAACGCATTGACTGTGCTAGAAAAACATGTTTTTTTTAAAAAAAGAAACAGAAAGAGGTCTTACAAATTTTGAAATTCCTCCATTAAAGCTCTAATGTCTTTCTCAAGGTTAATGCCTCATATATGTATTTTTATGGTACCGAACAATTTGAAAAGCAATCTAAAATCAATTATCTCATTTTATTCCTGCAACAGAGCTGTGGTAATGCCAGGGATGGTAGTTTAAAACAGGTAAGTCTGTGTGCTTTAAAGTCAAACTGCCTGGGTTCAAATCTCAGTTCTACCACATGCTAGCTACATGCTGCTGTTATCTAACTTTTTTAAACATCCATTTCCTTAACACTAAAAAAAGGTTAGCAGTGGTACCTACCTCAAGTAATTGTATTAGTTGAGAAAGCTCACATAAAATGTCTGTTTATTTTAGTACCTGACACATAGTAAGTTGCCGGATTTTAAGTCCATTGCTACCTACATTGTAGGCTGATAAATCTAATAACCAACTGAACAGAGAGCCTGGGAAGTACATGATAGAGGACTTCTGGTTAAATCTGGCAGGATGAATTCAAGTGGTTATCATCACTACCTCCTGAAATACCACTAAAATGATAGTAAAAGGAACTTAAGGTATAACCTCTCAAGTACACAAAGAAAAGGAAAGGAAATGATAGCTGGCAAGGGATTTAAACAGATGGCAAGAGCTCTAGCAGGGTGGAGAAGGCTTAAACTCAGTCTGCAGAGGAGGCAACCAACCAGCAGTGGCCTAATTCATGCTGCAGAATCCTAGATTTTCTTGAGCAAATATTCTCAATTATTGTATGTCTTTGGTTATTTCCAGTCTTTAAATACTTGTTTTTGACAATTTTGTTAACTTTATCATTGACTTTGCAGAGAGGCTTTGCCAAGCTCCTCACTTGGCCATTCAGAAGACCCATCCAGTGGAGATCCATTCTAGCTTCTGAGGCAGAGGCACTAGACACCAGGCAGGGGATCAAGAAAGGAAAGGGGTGCCACTGAAATAGCACAGTGAATGAGACCACAGCTGCTTTCTGCTGCTTGGCACCCTGAATGCTGGCAGTCTTAGATTCCAGATGCAGGAAACTGTAGATTCCTCTCTGAAAGAATCAGCCTAAGAAAAGGACCCAATGAAAAAGTTGATTTGAAATCCATCACCTTACAATGAAGCCCAGTAGTTGACAAGATACTCAACACACCATGTATAAACACATTAGCTTTTTAAAAATATACTTAAAAAAATTAAAAGTATAACAGAGTCTATGAATCAAGTGTATAACTCCATGAACTAATATAAAAGGTATATTCCTGTGGAACTATCATCACTAAGGCGAGTAAATACAACATTTCTAGCACTTTAGGAGCTTCTTAACTCCACAGATTAATTTTGCTTGTTTTTGAGTGTATTCTTTTGTTTCTAGCTTCCTTACAAATAACAGGTCCAAGATGTAACCATGCTGCTGCATGCTGCAGTAGCTCTGTTGCTCTATGTAATCCACTATATGACTATACCTTAAATTAATTATTCTTCTGCAGATGGACACTTGGGTTGGTTCCAGTCTTGGCTATTCTGGACAGTGCTGTTAGGAACATGCTTGGACATGTCTCTGGGCATACACATTTCAGTTGGGTCATATGGAAAGCTTATTTTCAATTTTAGTAGACAAAGCCAAACAATTTTCCAAATTGTCTGCACCAATTTACACTCCCACCAGCAGTATAAAATAGAACCTGTTACTTCATGTCCTTATTGGAACACAGACATGTTCATTCATTTATATATTATCTACAGCTACTTTCATGATACAATGGTATAATAGGCTGAGTAGTTGCAACAGAGATCATATGATCTGCAAGGCTGAAACAGTGACTATCTGGCTCTTTCAGTTTGCTGAGCCTAGTTTAGATTACTAATTTCCGAGCTTTATTTCTTACCCATATGTGCATTTTAGTTTTCTTGACATTTAGTTTTGTTTTTCTTATGCACATATAAGTTTTCTTCAAAACATGACATTAGCTGCATCTCATAAGTTTCAATAGATTGTATTTTCACTATCATGCAGTTCAAAAATTTTCCTAATTTTCATTGTGATTTCTTTGAACCATGGGTTGTTCTGAAGTGTACTCCTATTTTCCACACATATAGGGATTTTCTAATTATATTTCTATAATTGATTTATAGCTCAATTCCAATGTGGTTAGGGAACATAATCTATGATTTCAATTCTCTGTAACTTGAAACTTGTTTTGTGGCTCAAAATATGATCAATTTTGGTAAATACATTGGGTACACTATTTCATACATGTCTAACATGTCAGGTTTATTGATCATGCTCTTCCAATATTCTACATTCATACAATTTTTGTGTGTGCTTGCTCTCTCCCAGTTATTGAAAGAAATATATTAAAATCTCCCATTATGATTGTGGACTTGTTCATTTCTTCTTCTAGCTCTGTCAATTTTTGCTTTGTATATTTTGACACTATGTTACTAAGTGTGTAGGGATTAGAACTGTTTTATCTTTCCAGTGCACTGATCCGCTTTTATCATTATGAAATGTTTATTAATACTTCTGGGTGGGCCCGGCTGGGCGTGGCTCAGCGGTTGAGCATCGACCTAGGATCCAGGCGATCGGGATTCGATTCCCGGTCAGGGCACATGCCCAGGCTGTGGGCTTGATCAATGACTCTCTCATCATTGATGCTTCTATCTCTCTCTCCCTCTCCTTCCCTCTCTCTGAAATCAATGAAGATATACTTAAAAAACAAACAAACTTCTGGCTGGAATGTCTATTTTACCTGATAATATAGACATACCAGTTTGGTTTTTTTTAGCTACTATTTGCAAAATGTATCTTTTTCATTCCTGTACTTTTAACCTTTATTTTACCTTAATTTTTAAGCCTATTTTCACTGGGTATAGAATTCTAGGTGAATATTACTCAGCAATTAAATGAACTGAATTACTTATACATGCAACACATGGATGAATCTCACAATAAATTATGTTGGGCAGAAGAATTCAGGCACAAAGAGTAAATACTGCATGCTTCCACTGATATGAAATTGTATAGTGGCAAAAGGCAGATCAGTGGTTTCATTAATCCAGGACTGGGGTAAACACCGATGGAAAAGGGGCATTAAAGGAATCTTTCTGGGGTGATATTCTATATAATGATTAAGGTGGTGGTTATATAGGTGTATTTGTTTTTTAAAACTCACTGAACTATACATTTAAAATGTGTGAATTTACTGTATATAAATTACAGCTCAATAAAGATGATTGCAAAGATAACTATAAAAGTTGGCATAAAAATTATTAATACAGCTAATAAAAAAAACACACAACTTTGTAGCCTAAAAAAATCCTCATGATGGGTGTAATACATAAAACTTGTCTAACAGAAAAATATACCTCCAGGGAGTACCCTTCTAGTTGTTTGATGGGATGCTCCCTGATTCATGAATTGCTTAATAAAGCCAATTAGAGCTTTAAAAAAAAAAAACAACAACAAAAAAAACACGCCTCCTAAGTCAATGATTTCTCAAAAGAATATTATTGTGCTTAAAGAAACATTCAAGTATATTTAAGATCCAATTAAAAAACTACAACATTAATTTATACGTGTTCAGGAATTTTGGAAATGATCACATATATAAATTATAGCTAATATTTAAAACTTTCTTATTCACAATAAATTATAGCTATAATCACTATCAAGTTAGAATATACTATTAAGAAAATCCTGCCATGCTGGTGTGGCTCAGCGGTTGACCATTGATTTATGATCCAGGAGATCCCAGTTCAATTCCCAGTCAGGGCACATGCCTGGGTTGTGGGCCTGATCCCTAGCAAGGGACATGTAGGAGGCAGCCAATAAATGACTCTAATAACTGATGTTTCCATCTCTCTCTCCCTCTACCTTCCTCTAAAATAAATTAAAACATATTTAAAAAAAAAAACCCTTAAAAAAAAAAAATCAGTATTTCTTGCCCGGCGGTGTGGCTCAGTTGGTTGAGCACCATCCCATGCACCAAGAGGCCACTGGTTTCAATCCCAGTCAGGGCACATGCCCAGGATGGGGGATTGATCCCCAGCAGGGGGTGTGCAGGAGGCCGCCAATCAGTGTTTCTCTCTCTCCCTCTCCCTTCCTCTCTCTATCAATAAAATATATATATATTTAAAAAAATCAGTATTTCTTTTGTAGTACTCATAATTTACATAGCTTAAGCAATTTTATTTTTCTCAATTTATTTGCTTAATAAAATTTACTCAATTTTAAATGCTTTGAAAGCCAAATACATATAATTTACCCTCTGCGGGAAAAGAAGTCATCATAAGCACAAAATATTACCAATGGGAAAAAACACCAAAAAACATGGTACAACCTCTTTCATGAAATTTATACTTACGAAAAATGAACTTTTCCTACTCATCGGAATAACATTTCTTCTTTTAGTGATGTATAAATGTGAATTAGGATTTGGCAGGAAATTTTGTATGCATTTAGGAATGAAGTTATAGAAGTGCAGGCTTCCTTCCTTTTATAAATCAATAAATTTCCCCACATTTAAAACACCATAAAATGAAAAAATACATGTCCTAAAATTCCGTGTAAGGCTAAACCACAATCTTCTGGCAAATGCTTAGCAGCAGCCTTAGTACTTTTAGGTCAGGAGGAGTGTTCCTTTGCAGTCACCATTCCTTCAAAAACAGGTAACTGCCACTGTTCTCAAACTCCAGCCTCTTAAGATCCAAGGACTACATGTTCACAGCTCTTTTTAGCCTGATAATTCATAGTTTATTAATCTACTTGTGAGAGAAGATTCTTAAACTTCAGTCATGCATTCAGGTATCACCATTTGACACAAAATTCTAGTTTGATGAGTCCATTTATACCTGATGCTCTGAGGCCTAAAAATGAAACATCTCTGGGTTCTACATGGTGCAAAACAGGTTCATTTTTGAAAAAGATATAACTATAGTACTAAGGGAAAAAACAGTGAAAAGGAAAAAGTGAGAACCAACATTTACCTTGTCTCTGGTGGCAATGAAAGTTGTTCAAGTGAATTACCTCTTCATTGTTATTTCCCTCTGCCATTTTGAAATGCGGACACACATATGTGCTTGCTAATATCTAAACATGGTGTGACTACCTGTTCCAAAGGGTCTGAAAAAGAAGAAAAAAAGAACATTAAGAATGAGGGAAGGATCAAAACTCTTCCCACGTATCTGGTCAAGGCAGTAGCATTCTAAGCTTAAGGTGAAACCACCACTAGAACAACAACAAAAAAACCCTAAATGAATGCATAACTAAAAAGCTAATAAAAGAGGGAATAATGGAATAATAAAAAAACCAAATTACTCCAAAAGAACATATAAAAGATAAATAAGAGATCAAAGAACAGATGGGACATATAAAAAACAAAAAGTATACTTAAAAACTCAATTATAACAACCTGTGGAATGGGAGGAAATATCTGCAAATCATTTATCTGATAAGGGGTTAAAATCCAAAATATATAAAAAACTCATATTATTCAACATCAAAAATCATATGCTTACATGCAGCAAGTCTATGCACAATACAGCAGCATTAATTCTACAAGCCAAAAACTGAAAGGGACACACATCAATGATAGAATGGACAAATACATTATGGTATATTCATACAATACCAAAAAAAAGAAGCCATTACAGTCACATACAACATGGATAGATATTAAAACATAATGACTGGCCCTGGCCAGGTGGCTCAGTTGGTTAGAGCATATATATATGTGTATAAATAATGACTCCCATTTAGACAAAGTTTAGGCATAGGCTTAAACTTAGTTGTTTGGGGTGAAACTTATTGGTGTGTTGTATTTCACAATGTAAAAGCTAGGGGAAACAAAGCCATTATAAGGGGGGAAAAAGTGGTTGCCTACATGAAACAGTAGTTGGGGATCAGGAGGACAGGATTATTGCTTTTAATTTTCTGTAGCTTGATTTTGAACCATTTTCATGCTTTACTTTGATAAAAATGACAAGAATGAAAATCAATAAATAAGAACCAAAAGGGTACAATTATGACTGCTATGGACCTCTTTAGTTTCAAGACCCCATCTGTAGCTTACCCACTCAACGTTTTCCTTCACCCCTAAGAAAAGCTCAATTTTCTTTGCCTTCCTGGGAAAAATCATGTGCTTTAAGATGTAAGCTCCAAATCCTGGTTTCTCTCATGAACGTCCACAAAGAGTTAACAGTCAAATAATATCAGAATTTTCCAACTTAGAGAATACAAAGTTGTATATCAAGATTGTTTTACCACAGAACTTTCTGGTTATCTATAACCAGACAAAGGTATCTCAAACTTAAAAAATTACACATCCAAGCAATAGTTTGGTTCTCTCACTTGAAATAACAGTAATGTTACTTATAAATAGCATGGTATAAAGGAAAGAGCTCTGGTGTCAAATTTGAACTGCATTTATTCAAATACTTTTCTTTCAAATATAATTTTTAAAAAAGTATCTTGAACACTTAATTATAATACCCAAGTTCCTTATTTCTTCTTTTACCACAATTAGGTTTCTTCAGTTTTACACTGGAAATCAAAAGGAAATGTGACTTATTTTACATCTAATTTAGTTAGAATGTCAAGCTTGTAGTTAAACAGATTACTAGTGGTGCTTTAAAAGTAACATTCCTCATGAATGGTACACACAGCAGCCCAAAGCTGCACTGAGAAAAAGAATCTGATGAAATTTCTACTTCTGACTAATTTCTCTGTAAAGGTCCCTCAACCCCGACGTTCGGTCCTCTCATCTGGGTTTCAGATCAGACTGCAAAAGTATAAACCTGGTGTCACTGTTTAGTGAATCAGTAACTGTAAATTGCTTAACCTCTTGGGCCTAGATCCCCCATTTGTAAAATAAAAATATGGTTATTTTAAATTTCAATTGAGTTAAATATGTATAAAGTACTTAGCATAGAGCCTGGGAAATAGCAAGTGTCACATTATGACTATTATTATTATCTGTGAAACGGAAATAGCTATTCTTATTTTGTAAGGCTGTGTTGAAGATTAAATATGAGAAGGCAGCACTGGCCGGGTGGCTCAGGTGGCTGGAGCATTGTCTCGTACACCACAAGGTGGCAGGTTCAATTCCCAATCAGGGCACATACCTAGGTGGCAGGTTGAATCCCCAGTCGGGAACGTATGGGAGGCAACCAATCTATGCTTTTCTCTCACAGTGATGTTTCTCTCTCTCTCTCTAAAAAATAAAAAGGGAAAAAAAATCTGGTGAGGATTAAAAAGTATATACATAAGAAGGCACTTTGTATATGGTAGGAGCCATCAAAACAAGAGCTTTATCTCAAGTACACATAGATGTGGTGTTTATTAATAAGAGTTGGTAATATAGCCAAACAAGGGGGGGGGAACGACACTGTATTTTCCTCTTACAAGTTACTTTTCACTAGTATTATAGCTATTCACAGTAAAACGT